GCTGTGTGGTGCCCAGCCCAGCCCCTCTTCCCTCTCCAGCTCTGCTCTCATCAGCCACAGCCCCATTAAACTCAGCAATGTGCAGGGATGAGTTAAATGCACCCAGGAACATTTCCCAGAACTCATGAGATTGTATCTGACAAATGCCCCCAGCTGTGTGTGCCCAGGCTGCTCTGTCTGTCTGTCTGTCTGTCTGGTGAGGTCCAGGGTGAAGGGCTGGGCTGGGAGTGGGGGCTGCCAGGGCAGGGGCTGTGGGGTCCCAGCTGTGTCCACTGGACAAAGCCCAGCCCTGCTGAGCCTGCCCAGGCAGGGGCTGTGCTGCCCCAGGGCATTTCTGGAGCGTGTCCAGAGACAGAATGGAGCTGTGGAAGGGCCTGGAGCACAGGGCTGGTGAGGAGCAGCTGAGGGAGCTGGAAGGGGCTCAGCCTGGAGAAAAGGAGGCTCAGGGGGCCCTTCTGGCTCTGCACAAGTCCCTGGCAGGAGGTTGTAGGCAGGTGAGTGGGAATCAGCCTCTTTTCCTGGGTAACAAGTGACAGGACAAGAGGGAATGTCCTCAAGTTGTAGCAGGGAGGTTTCAGGTTGGATATTAGGGAAAATTCCTTCCTTGAAAGGATTGTCCAGCCCTGTCACAGGCTGCCCTGGGAAGTGGTGGAGTCACCATTGCTGGAGGGATTTAAACCTGAGAACATTGCTTAGTGGTGGCCTTGGCAGTGCTGGGAGAACAATTTGGCTCCATGATCTTGGAGGGCTTTTCCCACCTAAATGATTCCATGATTCTTTGCACATGATTTGTGGGAACAAGGCTGGTGGCTCTGGTGCCACAGATGCCTCTCCACCCAGTGTGCTGCCTCTACTCCCTCTGCTTTTTACCTTCCCTCTATGTGCAGAGTCAAAGGTGTTTAATTTTTATCAAACCACCCAGAGCAGCCTAAATAATTTTGGGGGATTGCTGGGCTGTGTTAAACAGAAGCTCTGCTGGTGGTGGCAGACAGGGGATGTAGCAAAAGGAATGAGCTGCATTATTTTCCATCCTGTGAGGACTTGCTAGGCCAGCCACAACAAGCACTTTGATTGCAAAGGTTTGTCCCAGGCATGGAAATAGAAACACTCCAGATTTTCCTTTTGTTCCCTTCAGAGGGTTGTTTGCTCAGAGATTTCGTTCTGAATCAGGGAAGATATTTGAACTAATAATGACACTTTTGGCTGAGATTCAGATACATGCATTCTATATATATAATACATGTTTATATAGAAAATACACACTGAGCAGTTTTTTATATATATCCACATAAATACATATATAAAATCCATGTAGGAAGTAATTCCAGACACAGGAGGCAGGAGCTCTGTGGGAGCAGAGCCAGGAGCCCCTGTGGCACCCACAGGAGCTCTGACCACACTGGAATATTTACTGTTCCCTGCTTCCCCTGCACTGAACCTTGGCTACCAATTACCCCGTATTAAATGGTGTTTGGTCATGGCAGTGATTATACAGTATCCAGGCAACCCAGGCATAATCTAATTTAACACCCCAGACGGATTTACTCCACTCTGTTCTCCTTTGTTTTGCTGAAAGGCGGTGAGCAGGTGAGGGACACCCCGGGAATGGCCTGGGCTGTCCCCAGGGCATGGCAGGGCTGGTCCCAGTGACACCAGTGTCACTGCAGTGTCCCACAGGGCTGCTGGCTCAGCACCAGCTGGGTCAGGTGCTGCTGGAGCTGCTCTGTGGTGAGCACAGACATTCCCCTGGCCGAGGGGCTCTGCCTGTCCTGCAGCCCAGGCTGATCCTCACCCTGTGCTGCCAGCAGAAGGAACAGCCCGGGGTCCCAAGGGCAGAGCCAGCCACCGTGAGCCCCGAGCAGGAGCGAGGAGGTGAAGAGTCCTGCACATTCCTCCGTTCATTGTTGCTTTCTGCTGTGCTGGAAGAGACTCTGTAAAGTGGGGAGCAGAAAAAGGACCCATGGACATGAACGATAGTGCAGTTCTGTCAGAGTGCATCAAGGGCCAGAAAGAAACAGCAGGTTAAAAGGCAAATACAGTGAATGCTTGGAAAACTTGTAAAGAGCAGCTGAGGAATGGCACTGACAGTCCCTGCAGAACAGCCCTGGCATTAAGGCCACTTTGGGCTGAGAACACCCATCGTTAGAATCCACGCGTTATTTCCTAGCACAAAGGATGATGAAGAGCTGTAATTTAGAGTAAATTATCCTGTGGGTAATGGATGGGGAATTTGAAGGATGTGAAAGGTGAATCATGTTTTGGAGCACGGCTGTGGTGACCCGGCACAGGGATGGCTGTGGCTGGAAAAGTACCTGTGGTGCAGAGCAGGAGTTCATGTGCCACCGAGGCTCACTCCAGAAAGGAGCAGGACTCTTCCTGCACAGCTGCAGAACAGCTCCCACGCTTCCAGAGGCAAAGTCAAGTCCCCTGGGCAGGGGTTTGGTGGTGGGGGCGAGGCCCAGCACGCCGTGGGTGAGTGGGCAGAAGCTGGGCCGTGGCTGTGCTGTGGGACCATGTCCTGCCTGGGGAACCATTAATAGCCCAGTCTGAAATAATTACAGGACCACGCTCAGCTGCCTCCCTGTAATGAGCTGATGACAGTGCAATTTATTAGGGTGATGTAGGACATGGTAGCAGTAATGAGAAATGGAGGCACCTAATTTTGTGCGACTTAGATCAATTCAGGTGTTTTTTCTATAAATGAACATTGTTTCACTAACCACAGAAAATCATTAAAATTATTATTTTATTAGTGCTTTTGAAAGCCATTTGGACTGCAGCTGCATTTTCCCATATCCAATTAGGAGCATGTGAATGTGTGTCTGCAATGCAATTTTGCAATGCAAAAAATGTCATTGGGATTTGTGAGGTTTGAATCCCCATGTAAGTATTATTTAGTATTTATTGTTTCTTATTGGACTTGCTCTGCCTTTCTTGCTGCTCCATGAGGTTGTGACTCCCTAAGGAGAGTTTATTTCCCCTCACAGCTCAGGGGTGCTGGCATGGCCATGAGCAGCCTGGCGAGCTCTTGGGGATGGGGATGGGATGGGGATGGGGATGAGGATGGGGATGGGATGGGGATGAGGATGAGGATGAGGATGAGGATGAGGATGGGGATGGGATGGGGATGAGGATAGGGATGGGGATGGGNGATCTAGGATGAGGATGAGGATGGGGATGGGGATGGGGATGAGGATGAGGATGGGGATGAGGATGAGGATGAGGATGAGGATGGGGATGAGGATGGGGATGGGGATGAGGATGGGGATGAGGATGAGGATGAGGATGAGGATGAGGATGGGGATGAGCTCTGTGCCTGCCCAGGGGTGGGCATGGCTGGGTGGCAGTGTGAGTCGCATGTCCCATCTCAGTGGCAGAGTCCCTCTCCAGGGCTGCCCCAGCCGCTTACTGACACTGGAGATTTCCCGCAGGCTCTGATCAAATATTCAGAGCTTCCTGGCAGCGGGGGGAGTTACGGGTAGGAGGAAGGTCCTGGCAGCTCCCCAGGGCTTTGGCAGGGAGCTCCCCACTCTGAGGTTGGATCCCAAGTGCAGACTCAGTGAGGGGACAGCTCTGCCTGTTCCCCAGGGATGAGATGAGGCTTCTTGCCCAGGCAGTGAGTGGGGCTGATGTTGCTGTTGGGGGGAGCTAAACCAGCAGCCCTGAGCCCACTGTGATGAGACCCCTGTCTGCTGCCTGGGGAGCTGTATGTTGGGATGAGTTCTTTGCTGGTTCAGGTGAGAATTGGATGGAAAATGATGGAAAGCATCTTTTCTTTTTAACCATCCTGAGCTTGCAGTGTGCTGAAATATGCTGAGCTTGCACATGAATGTCTTGACCCCCAGATCAATGATAGAAACTCGCAGCAATAAATTTTAGGGTCAGTCCAGCAAGTGAGTCTGAGTGTCACGGTGTGCTGGCCTGCTGCATTTGTGAGGGAAACAGGAGAGAAAGTGAAGGAAAAGCCACTAAAACCCCCTCAGGCTACAAATGGGTGAGCACACAGCCTGAGGCCACCACATTTCCTGGTTGAAGAGGTCAGGAGCAAACCACAAGAAAGACTCCTGGAGACAGGGCAGCAGGGCTGCAGCACAGGGCACGGGCACACATGTGTCCCCTGAGACTCAGAGGTGTCCAGGGGGCACAGAGGTGTCCCTGTGAGACTCAGAGGTGTCCCTGTGAGATTCAGCAGTGTCCAGGGGCACAGAGAGCCCAGCATGGCCGAGGGGTGCCTGATGTGTCCCTGTAGCTGTGTCCCCTTGGGGAGAGGCAGAGCAGAGGCCCTGCTGGGGCTTTGCCCCTCTAAGACCAGGTGCCAGCTGGAGCTGCTCCAGGGTGACCCCTCAAACACCAGATCCAGGGTGCCACATCCTCAGTGAGAGCTGCTTCACTCTGCTGAGCTGGTCTGTGCCCTCTGGTGAACTAGAAGAGATGGAGGTGGTGAGGAGGAGGGCTTGGGTGTCCCCATCTTGGGGGGGTCCCCGTGCCACAGAGAAGGGAACATGTGGGGCACAGGGATTTGGGGGAAAAGCCCCATCTTGGCCTCCCAGCCAGCCTGGCTGGGCCAGATGGGACTGACCTCTGGTGCTGGAATGGCTGGGAAGGAATTGGCCTTTGGAACATATGAGGTCACTCACAGAGTTGGAGAGGAGCGTGTGTCAGAGGTCCAACAATTTGTTTTCAGAAGGGTTTTAAGCATTAATGATTCAAGATGTTTTCCTGGGAGTGGTTTGCAGCATGAGGCTCAGTGGCTGGCGTGGGGTTGAGGTTTTTTTTTAAGGGATTAGTCAATTCATGGAGGCTGAAAGGTCTCCAGGAACACAACAGTTAAATTTGTACTTTTCCACATGGCTGAGCCTTCAAGGAGCTCACCAGGAGCGTGAAAAATGTAAACAGCGTTGTAAGCCTTGTGCCAGCCACGAGGCAGGGAAGGCAGGGAGGGGGTTCCCTGTGGATTAGTTCCATCACCTACTTCATTTTCTTTCTCTTTTTTTTCCCAGAGTTGCAGATAATCACAAGCAGAACCTGATGACTGTTGCTAACTTGGGTGTGGTGTTTGGGCCGACGCTGCTTCGACCTCAAGAGGAAACAGTCGCTGCCATTATGGACATCAAATTCCAGAACATTGTGATTGAAATTTTAATAGAAAACCATGAGAAGGTAATGGCTTCCCTTGCTTCTTTCATGCCAGTAGTTTATGGAAAGGAATTGGTCTTTACCCATGGCAGCCCCCTCTCCCAGGCCCCTCTCTCCCCATGGCCAGTGGCACCACGGTGGGGCTGTGCTGGGGAGAGGGCAGCTGGCACCTGCTTCTTGGGCTGTAGTTGTGTAACCAGTGCTGCTGCTAGCCAGCCTTGTTTATGGTCAGCCCAGTGTGAGTCAGCATGGCTGTGTCTCCATCGCAGAAATTCCCTTTCTCCTCTCTTCCCACTCCTTCATGGCAGTTTGTCCTTGGTTCCAAGAGATGAACGCTGAAGCGAACCACTGAGATGCACAACTGGGCTGGCTCCTGCTTTGCTGGCTAAATTCAGGTTTATCCAAGAGCTGGCTTTATCCACAGTGTTGATCTGAATCCTGATGGGTTTGTGTTTGTTGGCTGTGGATGTTGTGGTCTGTTAGTGCAGCAGTGGTGGCTCGGTGGGGCCGAGGTCCTGGCTGTCCCTCCCTGGCTGCATTGCTAAAAAATACCATTTTCTTCTAAGTGCAGCCAGTTCCCTGGTGATGATCTTTTGTCAGTCTGGTTTTGACTGGAAAGGAGTAACGGATTTGTGCAATTGGGCAGTGAAGGCAGAAGTAGAAACCATCTTGCCCTGGCTGGGGTGGCACCACAGCTCGAAGTCCACATCCACTTCTGTCTTGAGCAAGACAACGTGTGCTTTTCCTGTTGGGAACACCTGGCCATGCCAGCTGTCTGTCTGGCAGGGACAGGTAGAGCAGGAAAGCCACTGAAGAATGGATTTAATGGACTCCAGCAATGGAGGGAGACTTTGAGAGAGCTGGTCTGGAGGGGTCACTGCCCTTCTCTGAGCCTGGGGGTTCAGAAAAGGAACAATACATAACCAAGTATCAGCAACCAACAAGGCTGCTGCTCTTCGGGTTCGTGCAGTTTTAAAATTTCATCCCCTTGAGAAAAATGTGATTACTCAGTTTTCTGACAGCTGTGGCTGGAAGTTGCAAAGACTTTCCCAATCTGGTGTGCAGCCGTGGGCTGATCTCGCAGTGGGGGCACAGGAGGGACACTGCCTGCTCTGTCTGGGCTGCTCATCATCACCTGCACCCCCAGAAAGTCAGCAGAGTGCCAGAGTCTCAGGGTTCTTCACAGCTTGCAGTGTGCATCTGCACAGCTTGCAGGTGAAAAAGAGAGGAGTGCAGACAGAGAGGGAACGTGGAATTTAGGAGTTTGTCCCCAAAATGTTGCCCTGTTGAGGGCATGTCCTCCTCAGAGGCTGCGCCGTGGAGCCGTGCAGCCCAGGCAGGTGGGCAGCTGTCCTGTTCCACGGGGTGATGCCAAAGAACAGCTTGTTTATTGTTTTTAACAGATATTTAACACGGTGCCAGAGGCTCCGGCGTCGAACTCGCAGCTGCTGTTATCCCGCAAGAAGAGCACGGAGTCGAAGCCTCCCTCGTGCAGCGAGCGGCCGCTGACGCTCTTCCACACGCCCCAGCCCAACGAGAAGCGTGAGTGCCCTCCCAGCCCTGCAGCCTTGCCCTAATCACGCCTTTCAGAGTGTCATTCCCGTGCCATTCCCCTGCAGTTTTCCCGCTGTCAGTGGAAGGGATGATTCCATAACAGGGTCAGGCTTCGGTTTCCTCTGCTGCTGCGTTAGTGGGGAGTGGAATCTCTCCTGGCATCCAAGCCCTGAGCCGGGGCTCGGCATGAGGCTGCCTTAGCACGGGATAAAGTGTTGCTGTCCCCTCCCCACCTGACGGGCCCCTGCGTGTCCCCTTCTCATGTTCCTGGGCCCGTCATCGCTGCCATCAGCTGCGGGACGCGGGTGCCACACCTGTGCCCAGGGCCCGCCGGCGTCCCCCAGGGTGGCCCTTTCGGGATGCCCTCGGGCACTTTGCCTTTTACAGACAGGAAAACTCGGCCAGGAGGTTCAGCATTTTCCTGAGGATTATGTACCGTGGCAGTTTAAAAATGTTGGAGCTCATCTTTCCATTTCTGTCACTAATTGAAGCTCCAGATATTTGGGTGAAGGAGCCAAGGCCCCAGCCCTGCTCATGGGGTGGCAGAAATGTGTCTGCTCAGGCTGTTGTTTCATGTTACAGAGCAAACCCAGTTCCCAGCTCTGGTTCTTCCTGCCCATGTGCTCCCAGAGCCAGGCAGCTGCACACAGGGAGCTCTCCCACTTTGGTAAAAAAGCCAGAGAGTCTCCTGGTGAGGCACAGGCACATGTGGAGCGAGGAGCAGGGGAGGGCTGGGGATAGCCAGCTCCCCAGGGTGCACAGAGTGCTTGCTGTGGACTTTGCTGACTCTCAAAACACGTGGGTTTGTCTGATTAAGTTACTGTTAATCACCAGGCACTCTCCTTTCGGAGGGTGGCGGAAAGATCTGCGTGGGTTTGAGGAAGCAGTGCTGGCCCCAGAGCGTGCTCTGGAAATGGTGTGGGACGACTCTCGGTGAAGCCTCAAATATCAAATGCTGCTTTTGAAAACTTTGAGCCCCAGTAATTTATTTGCTGCTAACTAAGCAGTGGCTTGTCAGCCTCCAGGCTCTCTGGGCTGCTGGAGCCTCAGTGTGCCATCCTCCCCATGCCTGGGAGAGGAACTGAGCTCATTTCTTTATTTCTGCATTTATTTATTCCCATGTGAAGCAACATTTTCTTGTTTTTTCTCCTGACAGTCTATAACCTCCTGTGTCTTTGGGAAGCCACTCCTATTTTATTTGCCTTCCCTGCTGCACATCACAAGAAATATGTGAGGTTTCCTTTCTTCTTCTTTTCTTCTTCCTTTGCTTCCTTACTGGTCTGGAGACAGACCAAGGCTCTTAAGTCAGGGTGAAGCACAAGGGCTTAGGCAGCTGCTCAAGCCCAGTTGAGCACCACAGAAATTGAAAGTTGAAATTGAAGTTGGAAGTGTTCTAAATTCCCATTTAGAAATGTGCAGGGTTTACATTTTTTAAGACTGGGAGCAGTTTGACATAAAAAGAAGTGGAATGGGAGAGTGGATTTTTCCATCACTTGAAATCTGTTCATCAAAGTCCAATATCTTTCTGAAATTTTCACTACCAGGCTGTGTCTAAGTCAAAAATTATCACGTTCAACATACAGGGATATGATTATAGTGATTATTTTGTTGTTAAACATTTACATTTTTATCCGTATCTGACCCAGGAGTAGGGTGACACAAGTGTCACCAACACAGCAAACACCATTTTCTTCCTTATCAGTTCTTTTGTCATCCCCTCTCTGGTCCCTGGGGTCACTGTCACCAAAGTGCCCTGATCAGTTATCAGGCAGAGCCCTGCCCCATCCAAGTGTTCCTGGAGACAAAGGTGAGGATCCAGTGGCTCTGCCTGCCTGACCTCCCACCACAGACAGAGTTTGGGGAAGGGGTGAAAGGCTCTTCCTGTTTCTGTGTGCTGGAAACGCCCTTGAGCTGATGGGCAGCTCTGCTCTTGGGGCTGTAAAACCAAATTAAATCTTCCAGCGAAGAATCCTTCACATGAGCTTTCGAAAACATGAAGCAAAGTACAGTTTCACCCTTTTAAAAGGGAGGAAGTAAAATAAATCAGGAGTTTCAGATTCTGCCATTCATCTCCCTTTCCCTTGAGCTGAGGCATTTCCATTCCTGTGGCTGTTGGGACTCCGAACTCGCTCTTGGCGCGTGGCTGCCGTGGAGATTAGAGGGACAATCCACGCTGAGCTGCCAAGCTTATGGAGCTTATTCCCAGCCTTCAGCCTTGGGCAGAAGATGTTTGCAAATACTAGGCTGGTGTCAGTCCACACTCCAGGGTTCAGGTCAGCTCCTCAGGGCTTTGGGGCTGGCCAGGCTCAGCACGGGCAGTCCCTGCTCTTGGCCAATGTGCACAGGTGGCGTCTCATGGGCTGCCTAAAACCTGCTCTGGCGGTTGCAAAAACAGAGGGATTTGGGGGTTTTAGGTCCTTAGGCAGCTTAATTTCTTTTCTTTTTCATCTGCTGGCTACCACATCTGCCTGTCAGTATCTGTGGAGGTCAGTGCTCTGGTTTTCTTCACTCTTTCCTCTTTGCTTGGATCATCTTTTTCATCACAAGATGCTGGTGCCTCTGAGCCCTGAGGGTTCAGCTTTCAGACTTGGGGACAGAGAAATGTCTGTGCTGCTTGTTCCCATGGTGGCTCATTGTCCTCCTCTGTCACCAAACCCTCTGTCCCTTGGGACTGATTTCAGTCACACAAATCCATTCCTGTCCGTAGCTTACATTTCAATTTCTTTCAGGTTGTGGCATTTTGGATGCTGTAGGGAATGTAAAATATATTAATACCTTGAGAAAAGTGTGTATTTTTCTACTAAAAATGGTGTTCATTTAAATGTATCTGCGTCTTAAACCCAAAAGAGCCAAAGGGTACCTGGTATTTCTTGTGGTTTAATGTGTACTGTGTCAGTAACTAACTGAGCTCTGGGGAGATGTCCCTGTTTGCACTGGCACAGGGTTTCCTGGAACACTCCATGCCCTCACAGCCATTTGTCCTTCACTTTGTCTGCAGTGGCAGCTGGTGATTCTTGGGTTTTGGTGTCTTTTAGAGGAGAACAGGAACAGCATCATCAACTCCAGCCTGGAATCCGTCATCTCTTCAAACACAAACAGCTTCCTCAACTCCAACAGCGCTCCCCAGCCCAGCCTGAACTCGAGTGATCTTGAACTAGAAGTAATTAAGCCCAACAGGCCAAATTCCCTGTAAGTACAATGGTAATTAGTGTTTTATAGACTCTCCATCCTTAATCTTTAATTAGAATTGTTTCTTATCCTCAACCTCAGCAGTTTGCTGAAGAATACAATTTCACATTTTAATTTTTAATGGGCACCAAACATTGGCCCTCCATTTTTAACTCGGTCTAAGCAGTGGAATTAGTTACTGTGGGTTACATCTGCCATCGGTTCCAGCTCTGATGGTTTTGCCCACGTGGAATAATTTTGAGCAGAACTCCCCAGTGCTGCCCGGCCCATCTGCTGATAACTCCAACACACACAAAGGACTTTTCTTCTGAGTTCAATCCTGCGACTGTTGTCAGTACAGTTGATCTCTGGCCAAATCTATGCTGTTGCTTCTGCTATTGCTTCCTTCATCTGGAAAGTTCAAGGGAAAAAATAGTGACCTTAGCAAAGCCTCCCTGGGGACGGCCGAGTTATTTATGAAGTCCCTGAACTCGCCGCGCGGAGCCCTCGCGCGATGGCTCCGCCGGGGGAATTTCCTTCCTGCGGCCCCGCAGCATTTTCCCACAGAAGCTCCCCTCCCTGCCATGTGAAGGGCTGCTCAGACCTGCAGGAGATGGAGCATCCCTGTCCTGCAGGAGATGGAGCATCCCTGACCTGCAGGAGATGGAGCATCCCTGTCCTACAGGAGATGGAGCATCCCTGACCTGCAGGAGATGGAGCATCCCTGTCCTGCAGGAGATGGAGCATCCCTGAGGATGGGCGGCAGGAACGCCGCTCCCCTCCCGGCACTGCCGGCTGCGGGATGTCCCAGTGCAGGGACACCGTCCTTCCCACCCTCCCACGGCCCCAACACTCCTGGTTCCCACTGCTCTGGAGCTGCCCCGTGCCCTGGGGGCAGCAGGGTCATGCCTGGGCTCGCTGGGTGCCAGAGGGGGCTCGGCAGGGTGCTGGGACAGGTGCTGTGGGCAGGGTGACGCTGTTGCCTTGGCTGGGTTGGGTGTGGGGTTTGAGGTGCAGCTCTCCCTGCAGCATTCGGGATGGCTCCAGGCCCTGCCCGGCTCTCCCAGGCAGGAAGGTAAGTGTGGAACGGACACAGGCTTCATCCAGCTTCACCATCTGCTCTGCTTCCATCATCATCCTCCTGCCACTAAACCCTGAGCTGCAGCAGCTCCCCAGCCTCTCCTCGGCGTGCCCAGCCCTGTGCCATGCCTGCTGCGTGGGGATCATCCCACAGGGGAGAGCTGTGGGGCAGGACAGACCACCCAAAGGTAGGACACCTCCAAATCAAGGCTGTGCTTTACATATGGTACATACAGAGTAAAGATGCTTCTCTCTGTCATGCCTGGTTGAAGCTCTGGAGTCAGTCACATCCCATTCCCACAACAGGATGGCTTTAGTTTGTTTATCCTTCAAAGGGAAAAAAAATGGTGTGTCTTATCACAGAATGAGCCTGGGTGTTGCTGGGACCTTACAAGGATTGCTTGCCAAATTCACAGTTTTTCAGATTCCAAGAGCTGCCTCTTCCTAATGATTTCTTTCTTACCAGGAGTTAAAAGGAATTCAGCAGAACCCCTCAGTTAAAGCTGTGTGGGTCTCTGGGGAGTGGAGGCACCGTGCTGTTCCCGAGGGATTAGGTGAGAGGGCTGGCACTGAACCAGGAGCTTGTGCCAGTTACAGAACCTTTATTTGTGTGAGGTGAGCTGAGCTGAGCAGGACAGCGCTGGCAGCTCCTGGCTCTGGCAGTGCTGGTGCCATTTGGTGCTTTTCCACAAGCTGGGTGACCATGAGATAATTCCTGCACACACAGAAACATACGGGGTTCTGGGCTGTGTTGAGCTAAAGGTTGAAATATGGATCCACAGGTCAAATATCCTCTGTGACCCCAAATACTGGGCCATTTAAATGTTTTTAATCCAATCTTTCAATGAGAAATGCCACATCTAACCTGATTTGATTCTGAGCATGTGTGGATGTCACTCCCTGTGCTTGCCCAGCAAGGGGGCTGTGCCTGTGTTTTTGAGAGCTCCGTGGGGTTCTGCCCTCGGTGGCACTGGGTTCGCAGTGGTGAGGATGAGGAGGGTGAGGAGGGCTGCCAGCAGCAGGACTGTCCCCAGCCCTGCCCTGTGGCTGCAGGCTGGCTGGGGCAGGGTGTCTGAATGGTGCCAGTGTCCGGCGGCTCGGCAGGGCTGCCCAAATAACGTCCCCATAAAGACACTTCTGTTTGTCCCAGCAGCTGAGAAATGTGGGCTTTGCCTCGCTCTGTGCCCCGGGCTGGGGCCCTGCTGCTGCCGTGCCAGGGGTTCTGGTGCTCCCCTGGAATTGCTGGGCCCACAATTAGGCTCTGTGGCCGTGGGGAGCACCTGCAGGTGCCTCGAGGTTTGTGCTCCTTTGAACTCTGCTGCTCCTGTGATACCTGTCCCTGAGCCCTGCTTCAGGACTTTGGGGTTTTTTCTTGTGTTCCCAGTTTTCTGTAATTCTGAGCTGTGGGCAGCTGTTCAGGAGGGGCTGTCTGCTGGCAGCCCCCAGCAGCCCCCGGCCTGCTGAGCTGGGAGCCTCACCGGGAGCTGCAGGGAAAGCAGTTGGGTCATTCTGATGTTCTTTGTTCCTCCTGAGGAGTCCCACTGATATTCCTGTGGAAATAACTCCAGTGGGTGCCAGAGGGAGGCTCCTTGGAGCCTGTTGAGGCCTGCAGGCCTGGGCCGTTTCTTGTGTCCCATTTGAGGCCGTGAGCACCGATGTGTCCAAGGTGGCCTTTAAATGTGCCAGCTGTAAATTGTGAGCACCATCTGTGAAATGAGAGATGTTTGTTTGAGCTTCTGTTTACAAAAGCCCTTGGCTCCCTGCTAAATGCTCGTGTATCCCCCAGGTCTGCTCTGCCGGGAGCTGCGCCAGTTCCCAAATCCCCCTGGTCAGCGAGTGTCGCTTCTTCCTCTGCTGCAGCATGAAGTGCTGGGGCTGGGGTCCCTCCACCTCACTGCTGGTCCCCCTGGCCCCCTCCCCAGGAAAGGAGCTCCTCCTCATCAGCTTTCCCTGGAGCACAGCGCAGACTCTCCAATCCAGAGGGAAATTGTTTTGCTGCAGGGCTCAGGCTCTTCCTTCCCAGCCACCAATCAGGCTTTTACGATGGGAATGCATTTATTTATTAGGGCTGGGTTTATTTTTATGGAAAAACTGCTCTGGGCAGGAGTTGTACTGGGTGAGTCAGCGGGACTGCTGCCCCGTGCCAGGAGCTGTCGCTGTGGCTGCGGCCACCGGGGCCACCAAACCCTGGCCAGGGATTTGTGTCCAAAGCAGTGCTGGGTTTCTGTGTCCCTTGGGTTTCTGTGTCCCTTGGGTTTCTGTGTCCCTTTGGTGCCTGTGTCCTGTTGGGTGTCTTTATCCTGCCCCTGCAGGAAGCAGCTTCCTTAGAAAACAGCCAAGCATGAAGCAGAGAGCACGGTGTTTCCAGCAGAGATGCGTTCTTCAGCTGAGGCAGGGCAAGGGCAAGGGAATGCCTTACAGGGGAGGGTTCAATGGGATATTGGGCAGGAATCGTTCCCTGGCAGGGTGGGCAGGCCCTGGCACAGGTGCCCAGAGCAGCTGGGGCTGCCTCATCCCTGAGAATTTCCAAGGCCAGGCTGGACAGGGCGTGGAGTGGCCTGGGCCAGTGGAAGCTGTCCCTGCCTATGTCAGGGGTGGCACTGGCTGGTTGCAGCCAAGGAGACACAGCCAGTTTAACACCCTTCCCATGTTCATCCATGCCTCCAGGCCTGCCAGTGTTCCCAGTGCTGTGCCCATCCTCACCCTCAGGCCCAGGGCACTGGTGGATGGGGCCATGGGCCAGGCTGAGCCCCCACATGCCAGCCCTGGCCCAGGCTGATGCTGCCCCTCCTTCACCCCAGGGACTTGGCATTTAGGGAAATAATAACCTTGGGAAACTCAGATTTAGTCAGTACATGTCTATTTGCATTTAATTTCATTTTCTCACTGACCAAGTATGGCTATTTCTTTGCCCTCTGTGGGTATGGAAAGAAATGAGGAGCAGATCTAAGGTCCAGTGGTCATGAAAAAATAACCCAGTTACTCCAAGGAAGAGTGGTTATTCCCACATAAATCTTCATTAGGCATCCCAGTTAAAACTGAACATTTCTCTTTCCATGCCTGAAAATGAGAGAAATTTCAGATACTACTGTCTCCATCAGGAACTTCTCCAAGTGTCTGGGGGTGAGGTGTGGGGCAGGGGGACAGGGGACAGCACAGCAGGGACTGGGGTGCTGCTGCACCTTCCTCCCTTTGCTCTGTTCCTGTGCTCTGCTCTGAGGGCCTTCACCATCCCAAATCCAAGTGCAGCATCCCAGAATCATGGAACCACAGACTGCTTTGGTTTGGAATGACCTTCCACTATCCCAAGTTGCTCCAAGCCCTGTCCAGGCTGTCCTTGGACTTTTCCAGGGATGGGGCAATGCATCAAACAGGAGAGGGTAGGATTTTTTTTGGAAAAATGGTCTCTTAAAAATGCAAATAACTTAGACAATTATCACATGAAAGCAAAAGCAGGTGAGGTGAAGCAAACAGGCCTTTAACTGCTGCTGGTTCCTCTGCTGGGGAGCTGCAGGAGAGACCAGGCTGTGCCTGCTGTGCCTGCCCATCTGTCCTCATCCAGAGGGGCTGTGGAGAGCCAGAAATGAGTCCTTAACCTGCCTGACCTCCAGTTCCTCTCCCTGTGCTCCCAGGCCCTCGTTCTGCTGAGCTTTCATCAATCTCTGCTCCTGTTGTTTATAATCCTAAAGAATAATGGCAATCAGAGGTGCAGAGGCACAGGTCCCACCCTCATCCTGCCTTCCCGGCAGCCACTTTGGGAATGTCCCTCTGAAATGGCATCTCTGGGACTTCTGTTTAAGAAATTTGCTCGTGCATCACGTGCTTCTGTCCCCGAGGAACCTGGATCCTCACCCGCTCTCCTTCCACCCTGAGATCCAGCCCCACTTCAATTTGGATAAAGGCCAGGAAAATGCACTGGTGTTTTGTTTTGCAGTGTGTGT